GTGGTTCGGGAGAGGGCAGGTTTCTGAGCTATTGTGCATGGGGTCGCTATGAATCCCTTGACAACAACAACATAGCAAAGTCAAATAAATAATGGATGGGAAAGTCCTGCAGAAACGCCATGCTGACCTTCCACATTTCCGAATGTGACGTCCTCCTGGAGGACTGGCTCCTCTCTACCTCAAGTCCCAAGTACGTGGGATGGAGTTTCACCATCTTTGTCTCAAAAGAGCACGCTGGTTTCACCTTCTCCAGAACAGACCGTTCCCTGGCCCATCCTTGGCATAGTCAGTTCCCTTCCCCAGCATCGCAGCTCAAAGGCACTGATTGTTTTTCTCTCCTCCTCAATGCAGCTTTGAGATGCATAGCAAGCAGTTGGAAAGACCATGGCTTGGAGTGGCCTTCTGGCAGCACCGGCCCAGGCCTTGCAGGACTATGGCTTTTGGCATTGTTTTGTTTAACAAGACATCCCTGAGACCTCTTCTCCTTTCTCGCCTCAGCCTCACTTCCTGCTCCAATATCCACTGGCCTAGCATCTCATTCCCTTCCCTTTCCATCCTGCTTCAACAAGGGTTTCCTGTCTTAGAACTTTGACCCCATACAGTTGCTGCAGAGTTCCGGGGTGGCCTTTCACAATATTCTGTATCACTTCCCCAAGGAACTGACCTTGGCTTTTGCCTAAAGCTCTGAGGTGTTCCTACATTCCGGGCCCAGTGCAAGCCAGAGCACTGTGCTGGACCTGGGTTCACGGTGGATGCCCTGTTGGATAGCACTCAAAGAACTGAAAGAAAAGTTGGAGCCCTGTACTTCCCTAAAAGTTTCGGGGCGCAGGGTTACCACAGCTATGCAGAGTACCTTGTACTCTTATTGAAGATCTCCTCACCTGGAAAAACACATCACTGGATGACTCCAAACACCAGTGAAAATTGCGCTAATGAGAAAGAAGTCCACGCTTCAGACAGCCTGGATAAAATGGGAAGAGCACTTCCAGGGCTGCTCTCTGTGTGCTCCCCAAGATCAGCTCTGAAGAGGAGCTCTGCACAATGGTCTCCAGACTCTCCAATTCAACAGACTTTTGGGTGGTGGTTGGTGAGGATAAAACAAGTGTTCAATATTGTGGAGTCCAATATAGTTCATTTCCATGGTCTCTGCAGCCTCCTACCAAGGAGAATCCCCAAGTGGTGGATGAACTACGTCAAGGCATACTAGAGCTAGAGAAAAGTCCAGAATGAATTCACTCATCTCATGACACTACCCAACAAATAGATCATGTCCTAGACCCTCCTGGAGAAAGCAGACATGGGGAAGACAACTTTATTCCCCCTTGGCAATGACCCTGACTGTGCCCAGGTGGTGCGTCTAGGCTTGTGGCCTGGTGAGCCCTCCCACGTGAGTCAGCACCAGCGATGGCACTGCCAGCATGAGGAAACAGGTGCTTCAGAGCTCGCTGGGCCATGCCAGTGTGGGGAGCACGGCTCAGGAAAGCCTCGTTTTGCTTGCTCTTATAGGGTTGGGGTTTTTTATTTGTTTGTTATGTTGCACATTTTCTTCCCCTCGCCCCCAGCCCACCCCGTAGCACACCCCATGTTCCAGATTGTTCTCATATATATAATGCATAATCATATCCCTTCTGGACAATTCTTCTCATCTATTCCAGTGTAGTGTTCATTATCTGCCCACTCCTTTCATTCTTTCCCCAAACCCCCGTGTCTGTCCTATTTTATAACAGCAGTGTTAGGCAGTATTTATCTTTTTGTGACTGAGATACATCACAAAGCATAATGTCCTCCAGGCGCCCCATGTGGTGTAATACTTGATCAGTTCATTGATTTGCAGTGCTGCAGAATATTCCATTCTGGGAACGTGCCATAGTTTTTTCTATCCGTTTTTTGATGGGCACTTGGGTTGCTTCCATCTCTTTGCTATTGTGAATAACGCAGCAGTAAACACGGGTGTGCATACATCTGTTTGAGTCATGGCTCTCGTTTCTTTAGGCTGTGTTCCCAGTGGTGGAATTGTTGGGTCAGATGGTACTTTGAACTTTTTGAGAAAGCACCAGACCGCCTACTGCTGTACCATTTTATATTCCCACGGACAGAGTTCTGACCTCTCTGCCACCTCACCAGCATTTGCTGTTTGGCTTTTATATATGTGATAGAGAGGTGAATAAAGTACTTTACCCTTTGGACAGGGGAAAGAAAAAGACCATGACTTGGATTAGGTGCACTTTAGGGTTTAGAATGTTGTCATTGGAGAGGTCCTTGACAGCAGATTTTCCCAGTGCAACATGTCTCCTGACTGCTGGTACCAAGGACATTTGTGGATCCAAGATGAAATGTGGACAACTTTAGTCTGTCTCAGTCGATCATGATGTTGCCTGTTGTCTTACTAGTTCCCCACGTTTTTTCCTACTTTTTTTTCTATCATTCCATTATTTTTTTGTCTTTGTCATGTGTTTTTGTCTTAGAAATATTGTGTTTTACCACTTAGGATTGTGCTGTGTTTTGTATTAATCAGGTCGAGGAATTCTTTGTTTCTGTTCCTTGGTCATAAACCACTGGGCCAGTTGGCAGCACCATGATAGATGGAGAAGAGACTGAGGTTGTTAAGAAGCTTGCTTGGCTCCACAATCAACGCTCTTGGAACCAGCAGTCAGGAAATCAAAAGATTAATCGCATTAAGTAAATCTGCTGTCAGGAATCTTTTCCCATATTGAGAAGCATTGATGCCAGTCTAGAGACTAAGGTGCACCTGATCCAGGCCATAGTCTTTGCCGTTAAGTCCTGTACATCGGAGAGCCAGATAGCGCCAAGGATGACAGAAGAGTTGATGCCTTGGGGTTGTGGTGCTAGGAAGAAGTCTTGGACATACCATGGACTGCCAAGAAAACAAATAGGTCTGTCTTGAAGACTAGGATTTTAAAGCTCCATCTTACATACTTTGGGCAGGTGACCAGGAGGGACCGATCCTTGGAGAAGGACATCATGCTCAGAAGAGTATAGGGACAGTGCAGGAGAGGAAGACCCCAGATGAGATGAATTGATACAATAACTGGGATAATGGGGCGGGGTATGTCGGATCAGTGAGACGGGCTCAGGACAAGACAGGCTTCAGAGCTGTTGTACATCATAAGATCACTGAGTTTTAGGTGACTCGATGGCACGTTACATTCTACAGTATCAATGTTTACTATTCCTTCATTACCTTTTTTTAAAAATTGTAATTTTAACAACATTAATTCTCACCACTGGGTCTATTGGCAGCATCAGTATGGATGAAGAGATTGAGATAGTTAACAGTTTTAGATTACTTGGTTCCACAGTCAACACTCCTTGGTAACAGCACCCAGGAAATCAGGAGACAAATTGCATTGAGAAAGTCAGCTGAGAGGGACCTCTCAAGAGTACTGAAGAGCAGGCGACATCAGGCTGGAGACTAAGGTGTGCCTGAACCAGGCTATAGTCTTCGCAATTACGTGCTATGCATCAGAGAGTTGGACAGTGAATAGGGATTATAGAGAATTGATGGCTTTGAGCTGTGGTGCTGGAGAAGAATGTTGAATATACCATGGACTGCTAGGAGAACAAACAGATTTGTCCTGGAGAGGGTGAAGCCGGAATGCTCCTTGGAGTCAAGGATTCTGAAGCTTCGTCTGACATACTTTGGGCATGTTGCAAGGAGGGACAGGTCCTTGGAGAGGGACATCATGTTTGGGAGAGTGGAGGGACAGCGCAGGAGAGGAAGACCTTCGATGAGATGGATCAATTCTGTGAGTGGAGTGGTGGGAATGAATGTGTTTGAGACAGAGAGGTTGGCACAGGATATAATGGCATTTAGGGCTCTTGTACATAGGGTCACTATGAGTCATAAGCAACTCAATGGCACATAACAACAACAATTTTAACGAATGTTTATAGAAAAGTAGGAGTTCTCGTTCATTTTTACACATTTTCCACCCTACTCCCCCAGTTCACTTTTTGTTTTGGGGTGTTTTCTATTACTAGTTTGCTCACAAAGTTCGTATACATTGCGTTTCACACTATTCTTCCTTTATATTGTGTTACAGTCATTTCCATGCACTATGTTTTATAAAATCAGTCACCATTGGACCGTGCCCATCATGATCCAATCTTCTCAGGTCCCTGCTGCATCCTTCCCATTTCCTTCGCCCCCCTCCACCCACCGAGGTGTGCAGCCCTGTGGTTTCGCCCCTACCTGTCCTCACCCTTCTCCCACCCTTTCCCCTGTGTCCCACACACATTTTACTAGTTATCCTTCTAGTTGTACAATAATGTCTTATGCTGTATTTGTTCTTATCTTTAGTTGTCTTTTCACCGTAATTTAGAGGGTGTTTCTCCCTTTATTCTTCTAATATGATGTTGTATTTGAACTGGATAACTTATATAAGACCTTTCGTGTATAGTCAAGAGGAAAAATCTGTTCTCTGACCGATGTAGATGCCTCCTTTAATGTGCTGCTGGAATTTGTGGGCAGCTTCAATGGTTCTGTCGCTGTTAAGCTGGCAGTGTGCTCCCTGGTGTCACTTCTTGTTTGTGGTTTGTACAGCCTTTGTCATGTTGTTGGCGACAGCTTGTGAACACATCCCTCCCCTCTCTGTGCCGTGGAGGAGCCACAGTGGCCGCTGGAGGGCTTCTGTGCCCCTCTGGACATTCTGGGGCTGCAAAGCCTAGACACAAGGCAGCTTTATCCCGTCCTTACCTGCTCATTTCACGTCTCCCTCTTCCTCTGGGTCCACTTTTCTCCAAGTCCTGGCATGATTCTTCACTGGTTGTTAGCTTTTACGAGAGTGTGCTGTGTGGCAGGTACCATTCCGGTGGAGATTCTCACGTAGGGCTACCTACAGACCTGCCAGGAGAACCGATGTCTGCAGCTCCGGCCTCGACAGGCTAGGGGCCTCCCACGGGCTGCTTCTAGCTGTCCTTGGCTCGGTGTCAGCAGGGTTTTTAAACGTAAGGTTATAGTATTGTCTTCTTTTTGGCAGGACTACAAGCAGAAGATGCCACTTTGCCCTTGAACAAGTCATCCATTTGGGGGTGAAAGGTAGGATTTTTGTGAATGGCAGTGTTACTGTCTTTCTGGGGTATTGAATAGGCTTCGTGTAAAATTCTGCTTTTCTAGAAAACCAGTCTGTTCCTTTGAATAGTGACAGTAAGGCTGACTTGATTGGGAACTCCAGTGGGGTTTTTTTTTCCTGATTGAACCATATGAGAACAGCCTTGGTCACTGACACTAAACCCACTTCACTCTGTGATCCCCTCTTGCTCTAACATCTTTTTTTCTCAAGAAGCAGACAATTAGATGACTTTAGGACGAAGAATGTGTTAGTACTGTTGACCTGGAACTAACTCATAGCTTACCGTCCAGTGGGTTTTCAGAAGTGGTAAATCCTGTGAGAAGAAATTGCTCCTGTTTTCCCTGTGGAACTTGTTAAATTCGAACCATGTGCCCTCAGGTTAGACGCATAGCTTCTTAGCACTAAAGCCAGCGGAGCTCCCTAGAGAATCCGTGCTTTTACTGCGCTGTACTTCTGAACCAGTGGAAAGGGGGCAGAAAGAACCAGCGTGAGATACAGAGGAATTCCTTCTGCGGAATTGGCCTTAAGCCGTTAAGTTCCCTTTGTTCATCATTTGCAAGTTTTGTGAGTAACTACCGTCTTGTTTTTTTCTTATTTTGAAAGTGTTGTTTCCAGAAGAAGTCATTTTACAGTCTCCCCAGGTGACAGGGACATGGAGCCATGTGCAGGACACCAAAAAGGAAGGAGAGTCCACTATCAAGGTAGCATCTTCATTCTTTGATGCTTTGACTGGATAGGGTTGTGGTGTGTCTTCGTGAACTCCCTCCCAGCGTATTGGAGCATTTAAGCTGTGTTCATGAGGGTCCTAGAAGCGTATTTCCCATAGAACTAGTGAGAATACCCACCACAGGCATGTAGTGTGGTGTGTAGCTGCAGTTACTTGCAGACTGAGGTGGCCACCACTCGCTACGTGAAAAAAGCAGGCTCAGCCATTTGCAACCCTATATAGCACAGTTCTGCTCTGTCACTTGAGAGAAAGAAGAGGGGATTTAAGGAAACAGGTCACCTCAGTGTCTTAAAGGATGCCTGCAAGCAACTAGCAGTTCATCACGGGGGTAGGACAGGGGCATGTGTGAAAGTGACGCTTGAGCTGGGGGCAGGGCCACATGGGAACGCCACTTTCTGCACAGTTCTTTTATAAACAAGTCTTCTCTGGAAAATATTTTAACATAAACTTTTAAATAACTGACATTTTTTCCAGAATTGATACAAATTCTAAAGTGTACATACCTGCAGATATCAGTGAACCCTGAGTATGGTCAGCGTGAGGAGTACCTCAGGGCGTGTGATAGTCAAGAGCCCTCATAATAAATGGGGGTTGGGGGCTACCCCAGAGTACATGGTAATCAGATTCCTTAAAGCCAGAATAAAGAGAAGAATCTCAAAAGCAAAGAAAAAGATGCATTATGTACACAGGAATAGAAGTAAAACAAGAACAAACTTCTCATCAGAAGACAAGGAAGGCTCATCTTTAACAGTGAAAGGGGAAACGGAACCAAAAATGGTGTGCTTCAAGACCTTTTTCTTTATTTTCCAAAAAGGAAAGGTAAAATGTCCAAAAAACCACCTGAAAAAGACACACAGCATCCCTACTCCTTAAGGAAATGCTGATTGAAACCCAGTGAGGTACCACTTTTATCCCACAGCATTGGCATGGAATTAGAGCGGAACCCTTGTACATAGCTGGTGAGATTGTCAAGTGTCACAGCCACGGTGAAAGCAGTGTGATTGTTCCTTCAGAATGACCTCATGAGTCAGCAGGGCTGCTTTGTATCCACCCAGCACCCGGGAAGAGACGCTCAGGCACAAGTCCACGGCTCTCCACGGCAACACTGTCAGCAAATGAATGATGAGTCATAAACCCATCCGTCCAGTGACGCGTCCATCTGTCCTACAGAGGAGTGAAGCCCTACTGCAACTTACAGCTTGAAAGGACCTGGACCACACTGTCCTCATTAAAATCAGACGGACACACAAGGACAAACACCATGTCATTCGCTTGTCTGACCTGCCCAGAATAGACAGAGGCAGTGCACAGATCGAAGGGCCAAGCACTGGGGAGGTGGAAGCAGGGGGAACCTGCCTAGTGGGGAGATAGGTCTCTCACAAATGGACAGTGGTTTTAATGTGGAGTTCACCACCATAAATTATAAGAGAAAAGAAAACTACTCTGGACACCAGAAAGCTGAAAGGTCAGACTCCCAGCAGCCTTAAAGTGCTCGGAATACCCAAGTCCTTTCCACCTGATGAAGATGGTGCACACACTGGTAAAAAGAACAAGTGAGCATCATAGCATGTGGGGAAATTCTTCCAGTTTCCCTCACCCCACCCATCAAATTGTACAACTCCATGGTTAAGAAGAATCTGGTCTGAAAAACAATGTATTTGAATTTTTTAAATAAACTAGTATAATAATAAAAATGACCATGGCCAGGAGCTGATTGTGGAACAGACCACCAACTACTCATATGCAAGTTCAAGCTGAAGCTGAGGAAAATTAAACCGAATCCACAGGAGCCAAAATATGACTTTAATTTCATACCACCTGAATTTCAGAATCATCTCAGGAACAGGTTTGAGGCCTTGAACACTA